GTCTACTCCTTGATTAACATAGTAGAGGTCACATCAAGTGGTGCCTTCATCCAGATTTGCCTTTGTCCTTAGTTGAGATAATAAACTGATGATCTGTATTCAAAGATACATTCTGCTTCCAGGTGAAGCCATAGCAGGACAACCAAGAGTTAGGATTTAATCTACTGTAATCTCTTTGGAACCCAGCTCATTCTTTAGTATTGAATCCTACATGTCGCCTCCCTTCCTAAACATCTGATTCACTTTAGGATTGTTCATTTTTTATCTGGCTACCCAAATAATTCCAGAAATTCAGGTCATAGTGGATAGTCAAGTAGAGAGAATGTTGGACAACTCAAACAATTTGATTGCAGTCACAACCTATAAATGTTCTACCTATGTAAGTTTTTCTCCTGACAAAAGATCCCACTAAACCTCAGTTTGAGGTGATAATATTGCCCGACATCCACAAGGCATATTTATTTTAAGAAAACAAAATGTATAAGAGGATTTTCAAAGAATTAAGTTATATTGTGCACAGTTTAGTAGAAAACTCTAGACTTGAAGTTCCAAAACTACCTGAACTATTTTATCCATTTGTTTTTACTTATCCAAACAGGTAAACGTGTCCGGCGTGGAGGACGCTATATAAATCCAAGTTGTTGTTGTTATTGAACCTAGATGCTCAACTGGAATCCAGAGGATATGATTAGAATTGGTATGAAGTACACAAACCCCGAAACTCTCCACCTACAACAATAACTTGCATTTATATAGCCCCTTTCACTCAGGGCAGCGTCTTGGAGTGCTAACCAATACCAATGTTGGAGATGTAGTGGTTGAAATACAGTGGCTTAAAGAGACGACCTTCTACCACCTTCTCAGGGTAATAAGTCGGCTCTGCCAGTGTTCGCTACATCTCAAGAACATGTTAAAAACATGTTTCCACTGTTCAAAAACACAACTTACACTTATATAGTTTACCTTCATTTGAGGTAAAGTCTTAGAGCACTTTGAGGGTACAGGGTTGGATGCCAAGCATGGGAGAAGGATAAGTGAGATAGATATGTTCAAAGATGTAGGATTTGAGGCAGGCCTTAATACAGAAATACAAGGGGCAAGTCAAAGTGGTGGAGGAGAGAATTACAGAGGTTATGGGGGCATAGAAGTTGAAAGCTTCGCTTGTGATGGTGTTGTACAGTGTAGGGAATGCAAAGCAAGCCTGAGTTAGCAAAACACACAACTGCTTCTTACAGATTTTCAGCGCTACCATTTTTCAGCTTCAGTAGGAATTCTAAACAATCTGAAACTGTGGAAGTGCTATTGAAACTGTGGAAGTGCTATTACCATCGAAACATTATTGGAACTGTGCAATGGACAACAGTGCTTTAAGGTGCTCTTACTTCATGGGTGTATGCTCGATTCCCAAGTAATTCAGTTTGCACATTAAGGATATATATAGTCCACTAAATCAACCCACAAATCTAACCCATAAATATCTCTTAAACACGAATCTCTCAGTCGCCTCTTGATAGCCTGTTTTATGCTTTAAATCTGCTAGTTAGAGGTGCCCTGGGGTCATACATATTGGCTATATGATATGACATATTGAATGAGAACAGAATTGCCCTGGGAGTTCTGGGTAGATTGTTTGCAGGCCAGCAACTTTCCATAGCAAGAGAATCAAACCTCACTGACAATCACAAAAAATTCAGGATTTATATGAAAATTCAGTGGCAAATACTTTCAAACTCAACCTAATCATAATCAAAGTAATTAACAGGCAACCTAGATGAAGATGGAACAAGCAGGATGCTTAATGTCTAAAACCAAATACCACGATAAACTAGAGCAACAAACTTCAGAGATTCAGTCACTTAATCTAAAGGAGGAGGGTCCACGCCCCCCCACATTATTTCATCTGGTGCATCGGCTTGCTCCATAACCCATAAATATTTCACCCACAAAATATTATTATGTTATGTTTCTGGAAGGGAAACACAAAAATATTGCTAATGCAGTTTGTAGACATTCCTCAATTAGGGGATCCACCCTTCAGCAGCCAAAAGGTTGGACCACCCTGATTAAAGCACTCTGGGATGCTGCCCCGTGTGAGGGGTACTGGATAAATGCAAGTTGTTGTTGCTAATCTAAAGAAAGGGAAGCTAATCTATCAAGCGTGTATTTAGCACATAATCACAAATTTTATGACTAAATAACGTTATTTCCAAATTACAAGCCTAAATGAATCATACTTTTAGTAAGAAGATTGTGAGATCTTCATAAAGATTTATGAATTATGAGAATGATTCAAAATGTATTTAAATATAATACAAATGTGAGAAACATCAATACAGTTATAGTTAACAATAAAATGTGCTGTTAAATATTATAATATATGTACCATATGAAAGATAATAATGTAATGTACAGAACAGTATAGCCAGATTATTTAATTTAATATGGTTTTGCAACTTGCATGACATTTATGAATCGTGTGAGGTTATATTCTCATTTTACACATTTAGAACAATTTCAACATAATTTTAAAATTGCATTTTTAAATTTGTTTTACTATTGAGGTTGTGTTCAGTTCAACTGAAGTGGAGGAATTATAATCACTGTAAATATGTTCTGAAATGCAACTTGCCTTGTTTGCAAATATTTATTTCATTGTTTGTTAAATTTGCTTTTTAAAAAATACTCACCAAGAGGGCATACAAAATCCAGCACAATATTTAACTGGACACTGTGCAGATTAAGATAAAAGTTCTGACAAACGCTAGACAGTATTATCTGTGTTGCCTATACAGGTTTTAAAACATTTAACAAGTTCCCATATCAGTTTTTTTATATTTTAATACACCATCTTTTCCTCTTCAATTTTATATAATTTGCCCAATGCTTTTTAATCGCAGTACATAGCCTAGGATTCCTATTTATGTTTTGCTGTACAATCAAATGTAGAAATGTGGAATATACATAAGATATCCTGTACTTTATGTTGATAGTCAAACAACAAAAATGCTGCATTGTTTTACAAACTTTACCAGAACAATGAAAAAATTCTACTCGTGTTTCAATAAAAGGAACTAGTAAATCAAAAGAAACAGAAGTGCATCATATTACAAAAATGTGAGGCACTGAGGTATTGCATTCTTCATTGCACATTATAAAATGCTGACAGAACACAGTCATATTCTATCTGTTCAAAAGTGTGATACTTGCATAGTTGATTTTTGGGATTCTTAAAAGTCCACTGCATCACAGTAGGCTTTAAAATCCTGCAATACGTGCAGGAGAGAAACCAATGATGTCCATTCACTTCCTGGCAACTCTCCAGTGCAGTGCAGGCATTACACTTTAGCACCTGGTTTGCACAAATGAATGCACATATCTAACAGATATGAAAACTTTCTACAACAACAACAAGATTCCATTTATAGAGCGCCTTTCACGTCGGGAGGACGTCCCAAAGCGCTGTACAGTTGGGTCAGGACCCGATCATGGGGAAATGGTCAGGATGAGGGGAGGGAAGGGAGGGAGCGAGGAGGGGGTAGAGAGTCGAGAGGGGGGCTGAAGGCTCGGTCAAAGAGAAAGGTCTTGAGACCGGCCTTGAAGGAGGAAAGGGAGGAAGCGGCGAAGGCACTGGGGGATAGAGTTCCAGAGCCTCGGGGCTGAGAGGCTGAAGGCCCGGCCACCGATGGTTGGGCGGGGGATGTGGAGCAGACCGGAGCCAGAGGAACAGAGGGTACGGGCAGGTAAGTAGGGGGATAGTAGATGGGAGAGGTAGGAGGGAGCGAGGCCGTGAATGGCCTTGCAGGTGAGGATGAGGATCTTGAATTCTAGCCCACACAATGCTGCCAAGTGCCAAAAATAAAATGCCAATATCAACTGAAAATAAATAAAAGCTGAAAGATGCGGCTGAAAACACTTTCTGAAAACCAAAGGTGCAAGGTTGTCAAACTAAACAAAACACATTGGGGTGATAATGTACAGTGCAGCATAGTGTGAAGTCTCTGGGCAGTCTCATGGCTGGGAGAGCAAAGCTGCTCACAAACATTACCTCCTCAGCTGATGATGATCATCATAATAATTATTAAATTATTAAATGTGATATAGCGCCTTTCAAATCAGGAGGAGATCTCAAAGAGCTTCACTGGATTCCCTATGAAATGTAAGGATTGTGTATTTTGTAGGTGAAGGCAGAAGCCAATTTGTGCTCAGCGACGTCCTGCAAACAGCTGTGAAGTGAACGACCAATTTAGTTGTGGAGGTGGGTTTCTCCCCCCACACACACCCCCCCACACACACTCACCCCCTCACACACACACCCCCTCCCACACACACACACCCCCACACACACACACTCACCCCACACACACACCCCCTCCCACACACACACACTCACCCCACACACACACACTCACCCCACACACACACACACTCACCCCCCCCACACACACACTCACCCCACACACACACACACACTCACCCCACACACACACACTCACCCCACACACACACACACTCACCCCACACACACACACACTCACCCCACACACACACACACTCACCCCACACACACACACTCACCCCCACACACACACTCATCCCACACTCACCCCTTCCACACACCCTCACACACTCCCCACACACACTCACCCCCCCACACACACACTCATCCCACACTCACCCCCTCCACACACACTCACACTCCACACACACACTCACACTCCCCACACACACACACACACTCACTCACCCCCCATGAGCTGCCCATAAGTAGCGGCCTCGGGGTTATGAGCAGTGATAAGAGTTTATATGGAGGGAGTGGATGCAGCGGTTACTAACCTACAAGGAGCTGCCGCGACTCCTTGTTCCCCTAAAAGGGCCACACTCGGCTCCGTGTCCTTTTTAGGGGCACAAGGCGGCAGAGGCCGGGCTCGGGGCTTCCCCCCCCGCAGGCCCGGCTCTCCCTGTCCCTCTGCCCCGGGGCCGCCCCTCCGCCGCTGACTCACCTCCTCCACCTCGATCTCATTGTAGTTGATCTCCTCGAAGTCCAGCGCTTGCGGCGCCTCGATGATCTCGGCGGATGAAGCCGACATCCCCGGAGCAGAGGCTCAGCTCAGGCCTGGCCTCCGCCGCGGCGCCTCCGCACTCAGCCGCTCGAGTTGCCGCTGCCGGAGGTGAGCAGCGCCGCCGCTTCCGCCACCAAACCGCCGACAAACCACCCGCTTGTGCCGCGATCCGCCGCCGCCACCGGCTTCATCCGGCATCTCCGGGGTTAATCCGCCCCGCAAACATCCGGGCACCGCGACTCCGGCGCCTGCGCGCGACGGCGGCCACTGCCCGAGAAGAGACCGGGAGTCACGTGGGGCTGCGATCACGTGCTTCTCGACCGCCCGCGCAACAGCGGGACATGGGCGAGGAAGAGCGGCGAACGTCACAACTGTATTGGTTTCGCTCGCTCGCTCGCGCGCGGGCGCGCATGCTCCGTGTCGTGTTTGCGCGCGCAGAACAGTAACAGTAACAGCTGCCGCCGCCGCCGCGCTCGAGCGCGTTTGAACTTTTGAATGAAGTGACAGAAACGGTCGGTCAGGAGGGAGGGGCAGAGGCTGCTGCCCCGGTCAGGGCCAGAGCCAGGGTCAGGGCCAGACTGGGCGGGTGTTTGTTTCTTCTTGAGCTGTGGGTGGAAAACCCGACTCCGGGGGAGTGTGCCCACTTATTTTTAAAAAAATATATAAGAATTTAAACCTGCAAAGCGTCTCCCCCCCCCCCCCATCTTTTCTCACAGTTTCAAAAGCACCGATCTAAATTGGTCCCTGTTACCCATCCACAGGAGCCAATTTGGGGCTATTGTTTGGTGGACTTTGGGCTGCAAATCAGGTTAATATCGGGCAAACCTGCGGGAGAGGAGGAGAGAGGAAGCGGTAATTATTCCGATGATAATCCTTGATCGTGTCTTTGAGACGTCTCTCTCGAGCGCTTCACAGAATATACTGTAAAGTGAATCGACTGTATCTTGTGGTGGAAACACGGTCGGGGACGGGCGGACTTCTCCGGGAGCGTCGCTGGCCAACCGACCAGTGTCTTGGCTGGAAGAGTAGCGGCTGCTTTTTGCGGGAAGAGGGGGAGCGAGAGCAGGGGGTGGGGCAGCGAAATGTAGCGCGAAGGGCTCGCTATGCGGTGGCGAATAAAGGAGCACGATGTGGAAGGGAGGAGAGATGATGGGGCGCTGATAACGAGGAGGTATAAAATGGGAACGGAGGGCAGAAAGAAGGTGAAAGGGGGAAAGCTCTTTTGGTGACGGGGAAATGTGCTGATCGGCCTCCTGCGCTGTCGGCTATTTTCGACGAAGAAGTTGGGCTTTTTTGCAGTTGAGTGCGGCATCCAGTTTGTGCACCGACCGCCGACTGAATGACCAATTTAATCGGGGGCTTGTTGGCTAGGACAGAAACTCCCTGCTTTTGTCGAGCAGTGCCGTGGGATCTTTAACGCCCGCAGGCAAGTTTGCCAGAAATTGAAACGCGTTTGTAGTCCTTGAAGTCGACCAAATACTGGCCCCCAAAGCCGCCCAATATTGTGCATCACCTACTATTGCGTGGCAGAGTGACCGGTTTAAGTTGGTGCTTCTGAAGCTATGTAAGAAAAGTCTTCAAAAGTTAAATTTGAGAACCTGCCCAAAAGCTGCTTTTATCATGCACACTACAAAGAAAACAAAACCACACCCAATTGAACCCACCCAATCTGACAACATTCCTCACTGAACAGGGAAATTGTCTGCCTCATTTGTCTACAAAATACATAGTCACAGCACTTTACGCCTTTGATGCTCTTTGAGACATCCCCCTGCTATGAAAGATGCTATATCAAATATCATGATTACAATTATTGTTATTGCCATTATAATTTCATAATCTGCCAATAGCCCATCAGCTGCCTCTGGATTTTCTAACTTTCTTGAACCATGCAAATTGCAGCACAGGAGGTGGCTGTTGAGCCTCTAACCCGATGCTTGTGCTCGCCCGTTAATTGGAGCTAACTACTCAAATTTCCTGCCCTTTCCCAGCGTTCTTTTTACATTGTTTATCGTCAAATATCCCTCTAATTCTAATTTAAATGTTACGTTTTCAATTTGAAAAGCTGCTTTGAACAAGCTTTCCATGTTGGGAGATTTTCTAGGCAAATTGCAGTTGCTGTTAGCAAAGCCAATCAAATACAAAGTTCCATCTTGAAGGCAGCTGACTATAAAATCAATGTTATTCCAATCATGTAGGTCACAAGTACAAATACAAATTTACATGTTTATTGTGCCTTTCACATCGGAAGGACATTCCAAGAACACTGGAATATTGGGACCAGTTAAGCAGTAAATTGGTCTTGGATTGGCAAAAGCAGTATTTGACATCCAGTTTGTGGGTACAAGCTTTTTAGTAAACTTGACTTAAAATATTGACTGTACTGCTGAACTGACTCCATTATATAGTCTGATCATGTTATAAAATGCTTTAGTATACAGAAATGCTTGCAAGAGACCCATAGAGTTAATACAAGGGTCCAACTGTATAATTGGAGATCGCTTTAGAATTTTAAAAAATGCACACAGTCGAGATTGCTTAATGTTAAATTGCCTATTGTTATAATCCACATATTGTTATACTTGCAACCAGTCCTAACAGTACTTGGTATTCTTTGTGCACATTTGAGTTTCCGTATTGCTATAGCTGTATAATGTTATAATTGGTTTAATGTTATGCCAATTTGCAATCCTGACTAACAAAAGATCAAATAATGTTATACCAGGGATATACCTGGGTATAATCCAGATTAAATTTTGAAGATAAAACGGTCAAAAACAACTTATTTTATTAAAGGAAACTTATTGAGGTGAAATTAAAGTAAAAAAACATTTTAATGTTATTTTCTTATCTTGAAATTGTAAATGCCTTCAGAACAGTCTGGAAGTGTTAGCAAGTGTTGATAAAGGAAGTTCCCCTCATGGTCTAGTACGATATAATGTTATAATTTTATCTGATCCAACAGTATAATATTACCCAGATTTGTCTGAACGCATGGGTATCCAAAACGTACGTACATCCTAAATGTTCATGTGTTACACGGACCAATCAGCTGGCATTTTCCATTTCGGTTTAATCTCTAAGATCTGTGCATCAAGATATTTTTTCGCATTATATAAGCACAATTTTGTGTTAATGCAATCTCAAATAATTAATCCATTATCTGCAATTTTAGACGTCTTTTCAAGAAGCCATTGGACAGAATTCGCAGAAAATTAGCAAAATTATTTCAGCACTTAGAGCTCCAAGTTATGACGGATTGCTCACAGAGCTTGTAGGTAGGCCTGTGCAAAGAATGGACTTGATGTGCTGGGTTGTCCTCCCGATGTGAAAGATACTTTACAAATGTAATTTGTTGATGTGTTGACTAGTCTTTCCTTGTTCGAAAAGAAACAGGAGTTTTCTCCCTGCGTCCTGGCCAACAAATCTCCAGATAATTTGGTTATTCACTTCATAGCTTTTTGTGGGTCTGTGTACAGTACATTTTCTCCAAGTCCATAATCACTGCACTTCAATGTTAAAGGCGCTTTAAGAAAGGAAGCATTAGAAGATGATCTTATCCATTAGTTCTAAGGTTACTTCAGAAAAAAGTACTTTTTTAAAAAAAATTGAAGAATGCACTTCCTGGATCTTCAATTTATGATGAATCATTTCGCTATTTTTTTCACTCCTCTGGTTGGTTTCTTCTGCCAAGCCCAATAAAAACTCAGAAGTAGCATCTCTTTTTCCAGGGGCCTGCAGTTCTGATCATCAACAACAACAACAAGATTCCATTTATAAAGCGCCTTTCACGTCAGGAGGACGTCCCAAGGCGCTGCACAGTTGGGTCATGACCCGAGCAGGGGGGGAATGGTCAGGGTGAGGGGAGGGAGGGAGGGAGCGAGGAGGGGGGAAATGGTCAGGGTGAGGGGAGGGAAGGGAGGGAGCGAGGAGGGCGTAGAGAGTCGAGAGGGGAGCTGAAGGCTCGGTCAAAGAGAAAGGTTTTGAGACCGGCCTTGAAGGAGGAAAGGGAGGAAGCGGCGAAGGCACTGGGGGATAGAGTTCCAGAGCCTCGGGGCTGAGAGGCTGAAGGCCCGGCCACCAATGGTAGGGCGATTGGGGCGGGGGACGTGGAGCAGACCGGAGCCAGAGGAACGGAGGGTACGGGCAGGTAGATAGGGGGATAGTAGATCAGAGAGGTAGGAGGGAGCAAGGCCGTGAATGGCCTTGTAGGTGAGGATGAGGATCGTGAAATCAATCCTCTGGGGGATGGGGAGCCAGTGGAGGCGAGCGAGGGTGGGAGTTTAATAATCAAGTTTAATACCTTAGCTGTCGGTCCCATCCCCACTTTTGTTTTCTTTATCTCATTCTTTAGACAGAATTGTTGAGTACAGAAGTGGCTTTTACCACATTTCCAGATTATTCTTTTCAAGATGTGATTGATAAAGATATTTGATGTTTATTACAAGTAGCATTGAGATTAGGGAACAAGTATGCTTGCTTTATGCAGCCACTGGCTTTCCTGCTCATATTTATGAGTCAGGTTAGCTGGCAATTGTTTCAAAATAAAAATAACAATTCCTGCTGAATATTACTTTAAATTCCTCAGTTGTTTTATGAAAAACAATAAAAATCAAGATATATTGCCCCCATGCCTAATAATTTAACTGCATTGTTTCTGAATAATAATTGGGATGCTTTGAGGAATAATACTCAATGTCACACTGAGAATCATTTGGCAACATCAGTTATAGCTTGTCGTAATAAGGATCTCGTTTCAAGCATATTTTTATAATTGATAATATTACTGTTCTAAATCTGACTGAACTTTAATATGTTAATAGCACACAAAGAATTGTAATTCTAACTGATTTTTTGGGGCTACGTGAGTATTTGACACATACGGAATCCCGTCACCATGTTTAAGAGTACCCAAATGGAAATTTCGGTGTATCTAGAATGGAATGTGCACACTCCCTGGATGACCACACCGTACTTCTGGGCAGTATTAGGTGCAGGTTGGCAAGTGCCAAGACCTAGGGACCACAGAGTGCATTGGGTACTATTGGAATTGAACCAGCTAAAATTACACTGACTGGCAAGCTTCCCGCTGCTTGTCTAGCTTCTCCCACCCTACCCATTAGGGCTTTGGTTTGCAGGAGATGAGTAGCAAGAATCCCTGTCCTTCAGTCTTCCCCCCTCTATGTCTTACTAATGAGCTAGGCTGAATAATAATAATAATAATAATACTTGCATTTGAT